CTATCACACTCTATTGTGAATCTGGAGAAACGATGGCATATTGAATGATGAAGAATAAATGCAAAATACAGTTGATGATTTGAACTAACAATGTACATTTATTTGGGGACTAAATAATATTAAAGTTCCCTAAACTGGCCTAGCGAATCCCCTAGCAACCATACAGAGTGTACTGTCGTGGTCATACAGCCCTAGGTCCCAACCATCCATCCATCCCTCATCTAAACCGCTTATCCTTCTGGGTCGCGGTGGGTGTGCTGGAGCCTATCCCAGCTGTCATTGGGCGGAGCCCTAGGTCCCCCTTATTGAAATTTTCAGGTTCTCATAGCCCCATGTTTTAGCCCCAAGTTGCTTTATTCATGTTTCCTCAAGCTTTTCAGGAGCAGAACTTGCCCAGATATCACTGTGATATGATACAACTTTCATTTTGTATGTAAATTACTCCATTACAAACTTACAAACTTCCATCAGAAGGAATATTGTACATTCACCTAAACATGGATTTAGGTGACATAACATTGACTTAGACATCTGGCATTTACTGTAGTTGAGTATCTTCGTAGTTACTTTCTTCATATGATTATGCACAATAATCTGTATTTTTTACAATACAATGAATAAAATAATGTATTAAAATTTATATAATTGAAAATTGGTCAAATAAACGAGGGGAAGATACAGTTTCTCTGAACCCATCTGACCCTACTGGACACATATGGCCCCAAGAATATAGAACTGTGGGAACTTAGGGCCCTGGGAACATACGATCAAGCACCTTGGGTATATAGAGCCCTGGGAACATAGGGCTCTGGGGTTTTGGAAAAGTAGGACTATACACACTAGGAACATGGGGCTCTGGGAACATAAGCTCAAACACCTTGTGAACATAGAGTTTTGGGAACATAGAACCATGTACCCTGGGAATACAGGACCCTGGGAACTTAGGGTCCTGAGAATATAGGTATGTTTCCATACTGCCATTCATATCTCTATCTGGTGATTTTGGCAGATCCACAGCCTGTTGTAGGTGGCTGTGGGATTAGCTGCTGTTGTTAAGTTGTTAAGAACTCTGTTAACCACCTCCTCCTCTAGCTTTAGTGTAAGCTATGCTGTTGTGATCTGCTAGCTGCAGGCATACACACTCACACATACACACAGACGGGCAGGCATATTAGAACACTGCTTCATTACCCTCTGTCACATCAGCTAAGATTTATGGGATTTAATGGAGGAGGTTCTGTTTTGGCAATTTACTGCAAGACATGGGAAAACCACGGCTTTTTACACCCTGGCCTACTCAACACAGTGGAATTACGCTGTAAGAGAGATGGACTTTCACCTGCTGTGGAATAAACAGGACCCCACCCATTCTCCTGGGGCTGGGGACCAATCTGCTGATGTCATGTATGTGTGAATGGTTTAACTGTTTGTTTAACTGTTGCTATTCATTGGAACAGATTTGGCTGGAAGATTATATTCGTTGGAGGTATGGTCACTGTGGAAATTCTGCTGAAATGGAAAACCGTGCCATGTTTTCAGGATTACATCCGTGCATTTTCATGCTTTTATTGTACTGATGACTACTCTGATGACACTGTTCAAGCTGACTGGTGAGAAATAGGCAGAAAGTTTGAATACAAAGCACAGTTAGTTCAATTAAATGGCATTGCATGACAAGTTAAATAGCAGCATCTGCTGGCTAATGTTAGTAGTACTCCTTCAGTCTCCACTCAGGGGCCATTTGTACCTTGAACTTGCATCAATAAACTAGTTTTACAGTTAGTGCTAGTAATGACTAACCCTTCTTCAGAGATGTGCATACAGATGGATAACTGTTGTTATGTAACCTATAACTGTTAAATAATAACCAGTCCAATCACTGATCTTGTTTAATTTTTCTCATAATAAGATTGGTTTAGATTGTATTAGATGATATATAGAAAGTGTCCCATAAAAGCTCAAACACATAAAACACATGAATGCATTTTACAAACATACAACAGCAAGCTGGTAGCAATATGGACATCCATCTCAATTTAAATCCAAAATTTGAGGCAAAAAAACTGACACTATGTCTTGCATGAAGAAATTACTACAAGAATGCTCTGTACCTTGTCCAATTATTATTAATATCATTAATTTACATAATAAACAGTCCAATAAATGACCACCAATAAAGAAGAGATTTTGGGCATTTCAGACTGGGTTTCTTTTTTTTTGTAGTGAGCTACTGTGCCAAAGAGCAGCATGCAGACTCTGCTGCAAAGTTTCAATGCCAACAAAGTAAAGAATGTATGCAAATCTGACCATTTTTGAAATTAGGAATCTACCCTTGCCAAGCAAATGACACTCATCTCATTACTCACTGGGGAAAAGTGGAGCGCCTCTTGTGCTTGGCACAAAAGACATACTTTTTTAAGTGCATTTTCAGTTTAATGTCAATCTGAAGGGGGAAGTTTAAGTGCTCAGAGTGTCTCAAGATGTGCTGCTGTTTAGTCCCTCCAGTGGAAGAGGTGTTACCCATCTCTGCCATTACATTACACTTAAAAAAAGAGAGAGAGAGAGGTGCCATTGCCTGAATATGTGTTGTTCTATCCAAACAAGTCTTTAAACTGTACACTTCAGGGGGTCTGGTCCTCAAATAGACTATAATAGTTTGAGACTTTGTATAATTGTTTCAGGCTTAATGCACATATTAAATGCACACAAAATACTCACAAATCTTTCTGGAGGACAAATATTTTAGATTTTTAAATAACTTCTTAAAACAGCTGTTTTTCTCCAGGACAATGTCCATGTTGCTGTTGTCTTTTTCTTCTACTGTGTGTAAGCTGAGTTAGTGATCTGACTCTTTTCTCCCACTGGAGGGCTCTGGAGAGTTTACTCCACTCTGCAGTTCCATGTTTTCAGAAGACACAGGCTGCTGGCTGGCCTTGAGCTTCTGATCAACAGAGTGTGTTTTTGCTGCAGAGCGTTGCTGGAGTTTTTAAACATCTCAGTGTCACTGCTGGACTGAGAATAGTCCACTAACCAAAAATATCCAGTCAAAAGGGTCCTGTGGCTGGGGGACTAAAGGATGACTAACACAAAATGTGCAGCAACAGTTGAAGTAGCTTCTCTAACTGAACATCCAACAAGGACCAACAAGGTACGTGTGTCTAACAGAGTGGACTGTAAACAGACACCGTTTTAAAACTCGTTCTAAAACTCTAGCAGCACTGCTGTGACTCGTAACAGTGCAACACACACGAACACGTACACAAATCTGCCCATTTTTGAAAGTAGTAATCAGTGTCACTACAGTGCTGAGAATGCTCCACCACCCAAATAATACCTGCTGTGTGGTGGTCCTGAGAAAAATCTGTTCTTTTCACTTACAACATTTTTAAAACAGGCTCAAACCTTTGTTTTATAAATCTATTTATTTATCTATTTTATCTCTTTATTTATGCATTTTTAAAATTCTATTTAGGTGATATGGCCATGGTTTGCTAACTGTAATTGAGACTCTTACAGTGGAATAATTAGATGAAGCTGAAGTTAGCTTTATTTCCCATTCTACCTTAAATGATTTAGCAGTTACGTTCAGACATTAGCAACTGCAGGACTTTTTAAGGTAGAGCGAAAGAGATTAACATGACTGTGTGAATCTGGTCACAGCACTGTCCTATTTAGCACTGGCTAATATTATCATCAGTTTTCTGTAAATTTGGCATTTACAGTGCTCTTTTACGACAAAAGCAGGCATCAGCTGTTGGATTTTAACTTTCATGTTGTCTTCATTGGGTCTGCCTGCTGTGGCCGTAACCTGTGCTTTTGGCTTTGATAATAGGTTTTAAGTTTGTTCATCTTTCACTTTGTAGCATCACTCAGTTGTCTGTTCTTAAATGTTAAATCTTCTCTGGACGGAAATAGTTTCTATTGTGACGCATGATTTATAGCAAAGGGGCTGCAGCATTGGTTGTGTTATGAGAATCCAGCTTTTTGATTGATTGCTACTGTTTTGTGTCAGGGTGGAAGTGTTGGAATAGCTGGCATGATGACTGCATTACTGTTAGGATTAGCCTGTATCCTGATGTAATGATATTCCAGGACATTAGCATTGTTTTGTGCGTGTCTGTGCGTGTTAGAATTTAGGGTAAGCTGGTCTGCATCTTATAACTCCTGGTCTGAAAAAGTCCCCTCCAGCCCTGGCCTCACTTAAAGGAATTATTTGATCTATATTCAGTTTTGACTGCTAAAATAAAAGTCAACAGTTTTTTCTTAGTTGAGATGTCCATCTCAAATTCTTGCAAAAGAAATAAAACGTAAACATGTTTGGGTGCTCTAGACGAGTGGATTTTTGTGGATGACGATGCATGCGGTTCTAGTATAAACCATTATGTACGCTCAATTTCGTGGATGTGTACCTCTAACCCTCAATAAAAGGATATACTGTTTAAAAATTAAATGTACTTTTGTACTTCTTCTTGAGTAAAAACAAAAGTCATACTTCACCGTTTACTCAAGCATTTTTTACTGCATTACTAGTACCTTTACCTTAGTAAGAGACTTGTGTACTTCTGCCACCTCTGCACTGCAGTACTATGAATGATCCATCACCCAAATAATACCTGCTCTGTGTTGGTCCTGACCATTGAGGAACAGGGTGAAGAGGGCTAACAAAGTATACAGAGAAACAGATGGACTACAGTCTGTAATTATAGAACTACAAAGTGTTCCTATATAGTAAGTGGAGCTGATAAAATAGAAAAATGAGTGCAGCAACAAGGAGGTGTTCTTAATGAAGTGGCCAGTCAGTGTATATCCATATATGTGCTTCATAACAGATTTTGAGGGAATTTCATAAATGAATGTGTGTGTGCTGAAGGGGATTTACTTTCTTTTTCTTTTTGAATCAGTACATCTGTTTCTCATATACAGACACATGAAACGTGTTTTGTGACATTGCTGGCATGCTTTTAAGGAAACCGGTTGTGTGACTCCACATAAATAAAGGTAATCAGCCGTCACACCACCACCAGACCAGCAGTCAACATGAAGCTTCTACTGTGCTCTCTCGTACTCGTGCTCCTTTGTAGCACCACTGGTAAGAGCAACTTAACTTAATTTCATAACAATTTAAACTTCAATATGTGAAAGACGCTGTGTTTCATAATTACGGTGTTTTGATAAATATGGCATCCAAAATATAGCCAGAATCAAAGAAGTTTATAAGGTGATATTAATTTGCTGCTTTGACTCTGGATGGCTAATTCATAATTGTATCCTTCTGAAACATTTCAGGACGTAAGTGTTTTGGATTACATCAGTGTTAACATTATAGACTTTAATTGAAAATGAAACTGTCTCTCAGTTTCATTTTTCATATATGAAATATTTTTCTATATTCCTTTTTTGTCATAAAGGGAAATTCCACCGTTTTTCAAAATCTTTGTATAAAAAAGTGCTTAAGATATAAACAAAGTTGTTTAGAGTGGTTTCATGTGAAATGCTCTGTTTTAGGAAAGCTTACTGAGCCAGAATTGTTCACACTGGTGATGACTGAAACCAGACATCTGAAGTATCTAACACCCTAGAAGCTCCCTAAAAAGAAAGATATTACATAAAAAGGTTATAAATATGCTGCCTGATGTCTGAGACATTCTTTGGCAATGGTTTTGAGAGGTTTTGGCCTAAAATGTGTTGTGATGTACATGTATATGCAGGGCCTTGTAAGATAAAATAGACCCCCCAAAAAAGATTTTCCACTATTTAACATTTATCATCTTTACATTTTAAAAGCTTGTATATAAAGACATGGACAATAAATAAAATGGCTTTGTTTGTGTTAGACCTCTAGTTCCTGTCATCTTCACTGTAAAGAAATCCAAGTCTGTAAATTTCTCTACAACAAACCATTTTACACCAAACCTCTCTGAATGACTCTGTTTGGACCTTGATGACTAAATTCTGCAGACATTTTGAAAAATTGGTGGAATTACTATGGTATTACAAAAAATATACCTATGCTTTTCCCTACTTTAACTGTTAGGCTTTAAAGTACTGTCATTAATTCTCAAAAAAATTCTACAGTGCATTCCCTCAGATGCTACACCTGCCTTGGTACAGACTGTAAGACTCCTACAGAATGCCCAGAATCAAGCAACTTCTGCAGAACATCCTCGGCACGTGAGTGCTCACTACTGCATTTGTGACTCCCCTCCCCCTCTCTCTAAATAAAAAAGTAAAAAAGAAATGATGTGCCCTCCCTCATTAGAAGAATCAACTATGAAAGCCTTTCTATATTTGCTATATTACATGATATGGCTGAGGCTGACCTGACTTTGTCTTCTGTAGCTGGCGCATATTCTCGGACATGTGAGGAGTTCTGTGTGCCGGACGTGAACGTCTTCTGTTGCCAACAGGACCTGTGTGACTGAGGCCCAGCTGACCTAAGCAATGCTGCCACAATATGATATGCAGCTCAGTGATCTAATAATACAGACAAATTATAATCTATCTCATTACTATAACATGGGAAATTCTGATGCTTAAATAAAAGATTGCAACGTCTCCACTTGTCTGCTTTTTTTTTTACTTTTAAACTGCTTAAAGCTACAGTTAGTAATTACTGTCCAGCAAAGCCCTCACACTTGACTGTCAAAAATGCTGAAGATTTATAGTCATTTCTCAATGTAATCCATAGATAGCAACATATAAAGTGGCGATTCTACTGACTTTCAGTGCAAACTGAAAGAGATAAAATGGAAACGTGTGAGAAAAAAAATACAATGTATGCTGCTTCTTTCCATCACACAGATTTCATGCGATAACAATGCTGTTAGTAATGATGGCATTTCCTGTAAAGTACAACTTGTCACATAAGTTTTGGTACATCAAAGAAAAAAAGTTGGACGTTTCTATCTCTAATTTCATGTGCGTGGCAGATTGCGCACCTCTGGGTCTATGAATGCCTCATAACTTACTGACGAAGAAATTTTGGGTAACACTTTCTATGAATGTCACCTTTGTAAGCATCTATAAACACATTCATAACATGTTATAATGCATTCATAAGACATTATAAACATGGCTATAAATATTTATAAAAATGCATAACACGTTATAGCCATGCTTATTATGCATTATGAATTGTTAGCATAATACATTATAAGTACTGATCATAACAAATTATAAAAGCTCATAAGATGTATTTGTCCGCTCTAAGTAAAGTGAAGCGTACTGTACTAAAGCCTCCTCCAGTGTTAAGAGTGAGGCTTCAAGTTGAAGAATTTACTGAAGGATTTACTGAAACACTAAAACATTCACAGTAAAGCACATTACAGGCTTCAAATGTCAGAGTTTAAACTAGTGCTGCCATCAGTGTTTTACCCAACATGGGAAAGTCAATGTACACCACCGTTAGCTTAGTATTTGTCTTTACTTTACGCTCTCCAAGCTGGGACTGACTTCATTGGCACTGACAGTATAACGTGTTATTAACACTACTTATAAAACATTATATTAACAATTCATAATGTATAAAACATGGCTATAAAGTGTAATTCATTTTTATAAATGTTTATAATCATGTTTATAATGCCATATGAATGCATTATAACATGTTATAAATGTGTTTATAGATTTTTACAAATGTGACATTCATAGAAAGTGTTACCAAATTTTGTTTACTTTAGTTTTTATTTATAATCATTTTTTTCCTCATCAGAACCTTTACACGAGAGATCACAAATCTCTGACATATATAACTGTGGTAACACTTTCTATGAATGTCACGTTTGTAAACATCTATAAACACATTTATAACATGTTATAAAGCATTCATAAGGCATTATAAACATGGTTATACATATGTATAAAAATGAATTACACTGCATTACACTTTATAGCCATGTTTATTATACATTATGAATTGTTAATATAATGCATTATAAGTAGTGTTAATAACACGTTATACTGTCAGTGCCAAAGAAGTCAGTCCCAGCTTGGAGAGCATAAAGTAAAGACAAATACAAAGTTAATTTACTCCCTGAGATTTCTAATATTTTATTTCTCAGCGCTGGTGCTGTTAGGGCTGCATCTTCGGGGCTTCAGTCTTGAATATTCAGATGCTCCAAACAGGCTGTCCAGCCTAGAATTATTGCTACAGCATCCTTTTCTTAACCAGCGCTCTGACTCTGTTACATTACATCACAGCAAACCAAGTACAAAAACACTACTGATGGCAGCTCTAGTTTAAACTCTGACATTTGAAGCCTGTAATGTGCTTTATTGTGAATATTTTAGTGTTTCAGTAAATTCTTCAGTAAATACTTCAACTTGAAGCCTCACTCTCAACACTGGAGGAGGCTTTAGTACAGTACGCTTCACTTTACTGAGAGTGGAAAAATACAACTTATGAGCTCTTATAATTTGTTATGAACAGTACCTATAATGCATTATGTTAACAATTCATAACGCATAATAAGCATGTCTATAACGTGTAATGCATTTTTATAAATATTTATAGCCATGGTTATGATGCCTTATGAATGCATTATAACATGTTATGAATGTGTTTATAGATGCTTACAAATGTGACATTCATAGAAAGTGTTACCAGAACTGTTTGAGCACTTTCTGATGTCCAGGCTGTAGTTTTCTGGACGTCTTTCTCTGTAAGAGCTGAAAAGTGGTAGCACTCCCTTTAAAAGTACTCTTGTCTCCTCCTCAGTCCAGCTAAATCCTCTCCACTGGATTATTATTTTTCACAGAAAAAAGGTTTCCAATATAAGTTTTCTCAGCATTTTAGCCATCAACAAACAATTTTTACACTAACGATGCATGGGAAAAAATTTTTTATCTACAATCATAAAATATAATTAACAATTTCCATTGTTTTAGCCTTTTATAGCCTATGTTGACAAGCTTTCTGGAACATTAAAATGTTTTCTGTAAAATAAAATCCTCTGAATAGAAACATAGCTAATGTGTTACGATCTTGAACGTTTTTTTTTTTTTTACTGCAGTGTGCAGATGTAACAATTTTGATTGACAATCCAGTTTTCCCCCTTGCAGCCAAGACATGTTTAGTGTCTGAACTTTGCTTCTTTATTTTGCACTGGAACTGTGATGCTAATGTAATGGAAACTTACACTGTATCAATTAGCATCATGTGAACTGTATTCCTATGGAAAAGTTGAATGTCACTGAAAATAGTCTAGTGGTTGTTGAAATACAAAAAGCTTATAATATGTTGTCCTATATAAAACAAACAGGGAGTCCAGTGACAGCTGTCTAACTGCTCAAACATCAGAAATGCCAGGCTAAATTCCAGCAACACCACAGGCCTCCACGTCAGGAGTCTAAGAGAAGGAAGCACTCAGCCCTTATACCTTCAAACTGGGAACATCATGCAACAGGGAAGTTCTAGCTTGCGTATGACCAAAAAATGTAAGAGATTTCAGCTCTCAGCCAGCACATTCCCTGTTTAATTTAATTTATTTATTTATTTAGCTCAACTTACTTAAATTGTTCTGTCCAGTGGAAGTTTATACCCTGTCAACTAGCACTGTGCAGATTACAAACTATAGTTTGCACAGTGCTAGTAAAGTTCAGTTATCTTAAATAGACTTGCTTAAGTAGACACTGTATGAAATACTATTATCTAAGAGAATGGACAAAAATACAGACCAAATGAATGTGACCTAAAAAAACACCATTACAAATCCCTCATTCTGTGAAGTGGCTCTTATACAGTGTGTTTGTGCCATGCATCTGTTTTGAATTATGAATGTATGAATTAAGTAGGATCAGTTAATGGCACACAAAGCAGTCAAAGCAGTCTTTTGGACATGTAAGTCATCAGACAGGCAGAAAGTGATAAAGCCATATGGAGGGAAAGGATTACCTATGTGTACTACACACACATATATATATATATATATATATATATATATATATATATATATATATTTATATGACTGGTTGCCAGTCATTCATTACACAAAATTATCTGATGGCCCTTAATGTCTTTCAACGCAGTATATATTAAAAATGTGCTCTAATGGTCTGCTGCAGCTTTCTATACAGGCTAGTCTGATCCCTTTCATTTTTTAGTTAACTAAGAAATATATAAATAAATTCACCTGTTCAGCACACAATTTTACAAATGGCCCCACTTGCGCACAGATAAATCAGACTGCTACTCATAATCTTAATCAAACAGGGAAATATGGGTCAAATGTGTATTAGTCTTCCTGCCTTTATTTCCTTTTCCATTAGAGTGCAGCCAGATATTAAAGAGATTGAGGATTAAAAATACCTTAGTGCCTGCACACACACACACACACATACACACTCACTCTATGTCTTTTATCTTGTCACATTCACTACTGGACAGAGAACGATTAAGATTCAAAGGCCTTAATCTGCTAAACTGATGCAGCATTTCTGTCAATTTGCAACTTCCAAGAAAAGAGCAAGAGTGAAAAGAGAGTTCAGAGAATCTGGCCTCTTACACTGATTAAGAGTAAAAATGTTGAAAAACAGGCAGCAAAAGAGGAAGAGAGGCAGAGTTTTACCGAAAAGGGCAAGACCAACATAGCAGAGGTGGAATGTAATATTTCAATTTGGTTTTTTTTTGTTGTTTTTTTTTGATGCAGTACTGTATAAAAGTCAGTAACCACCCTTTATTTAATACATACATACATACATACATACATCATCTAAACCGCTTATCCTTCAGGGTCACGGTGGGGTGCTGGAGCCTATCCCAGCTGTCATTGGGCGGAAGGCAGGATACACCCTGGACAGGTTGCCAGTCCATCGCAGGGCTTTATTTAATTTCCAGTCAAGTTATTGAGGAAATATTTCTGCAAAGATTAGATATAAGATAATCAACTTGCATGAGGAAGAGAAAAGTCAAAACAAAACAAGTCAAAAAACAGGTGTTTCCAAAACTGGAATTCAAAAAATGGGTAAACAACACAGATAAAGTGGGACTCCCAACAACCATGCAAGACCTGGTAGACCACCAAAACTGTCCCCATCAGAAAAACAGTCCTAAATCCACAGGCTTTTCTGTCTATCCTTCCACTGTGAACTCAACACTATGGCCCAATCCCATTTCACCCCTTGCCCCTACCACTTAGCCCTTACCTCTCTGTTTTGCATGTTCACACCGAGGGATAGGGTGTCCCGATTTTTGCTGAGACAGAGGGGTAGGGCGAAGTATTAGGGCTACGTGGCCCTCCAAACAGGGATTTTTCAGAGGCACACTCCAAACAGAGGGTTCTGAAAAAAAAAGAAAAACTGGCAAAATGGCTGCACGAGCAACCAAATAAACCCACAAATGTGAGAATTTTTTCTGTTAAAAATGACAAAAACCATTGAATTAACTTGCTTTAATGTCATTTCAATGTATTATTTCATAGTTCGCAAGTACTATGCTAATAGCTCGGTAGCTACCTAGCTAAATTTCCCATTCCATCTTAAATGATTACATTGCCTCAGGCGTCAGAACTGCTGCATCAGTTTAAGTGGAACGGGAAAATTTTAACAAGAAGCTTGTA